ATTAATACATTGGAGAAAAAATTTGAAGGTTTAGAGTTTTCCTCATGTACTTTCAATATCAGTGTGAATTTTTCTACACTTCTCTAACTTTTTTGTACTAGGACGTGATTAATGGTGGAAATATTGAAATATGCAGATGTTCACAAATGGAATGAGTGAGAGTGCTTCCTCGAAGGCTTGCTTTAAAGATGTCTGCTTTGAAGCATTCTCAACTATGCTGGACTTCATGTATGGTGGAGAAGTTTACAAAGAAGACTCGGTTCTCGTAGATACCTTGCTACTTCAGCTTCTTCTCTTAGCGGATCAGTTTGGGGTTACTCTTCTTCATCAGGAGTGTTGCAAAACACTTTTAGAACATCTATCAGAGGTAATATGGTAACCTTGATCTTTTGGGGCTTAAAACAATAGTGGTCACTATTTTTTTCAAGTTGGTCGCTGAACTTAAAACTTTTTATCAAAAGAAGTTCACTGAACTTAAACGTGTGTTACAATTTGATCATTTTGGTAATGTTGGTTAGTTTGATTAAAACAAAAAATTGGCATGGAGTCTAGTCGGCAGCTTAGGTGGCAAATAACTTGACTACCATGTCACATTTTCCGTTAGTTGAACTTAGAGAAAGCGAAACAAACTTTCAGTTCAGTGGCCAACATGAAGTTTTGCTAAACATTTAGTGACTTCTGGTGTGTTTAACCCTGTCACATAGTTCAGATTTGAGTCCAAAGAATTTCTCTTTGAATTATTTATCACTGAATCAAAATCCTAGACGGGGACAACAATTTAGAAAATTGAGAATTGGTGGAGTGTCAGGATTATGAACACGAGCGGAGAACATTTTTGACAATGAATTATAAAGTATTAATACCTCTCATCTATATATTATATGCAGGGATGGAGTTCTCATAATTGAGGAAGGTCACACAACTACTTTTTCTATTATGCCAAGTTTAATGGACGAGGAAGCAGACAGTTTTGGCAAAGTATTTGGGTAGCTTTACGTGTGGCTAACTTTTGGACTTTGTTGCAGGATTCTGTGTGCCCAGTTCTGCAAGTTGTTTCGTCCGTTCCTTCATGTAAACTCATTGAAGAAACCTGTGAAAGGAAATTTTCCATGCATTTTGATTACTGCACAACTGCGTGCTTTGATTTTGTCATGCTAGAGGAAGCAACCTTTGGCAACATTCTCCAGGTGAGTTCTTCTCTTCTCAAAGGTGTGAGTTCTTTTCTCAAAGGTTCATTAATAGAGAATACATTACAAAACATCAAAAGCAATCTTCTCCGTCTGGAACATCTTACTTAAACTTATTTACTTTTCATGTATACGCCTTAAGAAATAAGTGAAACTACCTTAAATTAAATTTTGCCTTAAAGTAAATTTTAAGCTTGGCCAAGCACGTCTAAGCTTAAAGTTAATTGTAAGTAGTAACTTCTTTTTTCCCCATAACATGTTGCCAAAAAAGAAAAATTAATTTCTAACTGTGTTCACTTATTTATTAAAACGGTACTTTTACTTTTTTTAGGCTTGGCCAAATATGTTCCTTTCTATGAAAATTAAGTGAATTGACTAAAATTTATAAAATATCCGACTTATTTTGTGATAAGTTGGTAAGAAATTTAAGATTATGATTTCCACGTCAGTGCATATTATCTTTGTTGAAGTATTGGCATTTGGGCCGGGGAACTTAACAAATATAATATGTATATTGCAGCATCCAGATTTGACTGTAACGTGTGAAGAACGGGTTCTTAATGCAATCTTAATTTATTGCTCCCAATCAAAGGAGTTAAATGCATGGGACAGAGTAGATGAGAAGCTGCTGAATTCAACGCCTGAGCTTATTTTTGGTGAAAGGCTCAATTCTCTCGACTTATTTCTAAGTTTTGTACGCTTCCCCTTACTTCCTTATGAAGTGCTTAAACTGGTATGCCCTTAAAACATCAAGATATAAATTACATGCTTGAGAATGTCATATGAGTTTTTCTAAATGTGAAAAAATGTTAAAATATTGCAGCTGGAGAGGAGCAACCTTAGGAGACATATTACTACTTTCCGTCGGCTGGTATTGAGAAAACTTGCACAAAAGATATCTATGGTCAAAAGTTCATTAAACAGATTATTCTTTATATCTTCTGGAAACTGATACAGCATTTCACAGGTGAAAGAGGCCATTTCTTTTCTGGAAGTTGGATTAACTGGTCCTGACAAAGATCTAAAGTAAGTATAAGACAGTAAACTAAGTTCAAAACTTTTCTACTTCTCTCGGTGAAATACGAGACATATTACTACTTTCCGTCGGCTGGTATTGAGAAAACTTGCACAAAAGATATCTATGGTCAAAAGTTCATTAAACAGATTATTCTTTATATCTTCTGGAAACTGATACAGCATTTCACAGGTGAAAGAGGCCATTTCTTTTCTGGAAGTTGGATTAACTGGTCCTGACAAAGATCTAAAGTAAGTATAAGACAGTAAACTAAGTTCAAAACTTTTCTACTTCTCTCGGTGAAATACTGCAAAGATGTATCTATTATCCTCCTCAGAATTGATAAACTTATACCTATGTAATCATAACAAAAATTCCTTTCCTTTTTTTCATCTTGGGTTCCCGTGCTAGGCCATTCTGTGTGGACTGTCCCAGGAAAACTCTGCGTGTATGTCTGGCCAGGCATCCTTGGCCTGTGGCTTGCGGGGCTGTATTTTCACAAAATGTGAGTGATGGGAATTTCTTGGGCGTTGGACTGAATAGCCTGCCCAACGACCCTACATTTTGTTCCTTGAATGGGAAGGGATTTGTTCATTTAAATTTTTATCAGAAAAATAAGTAGCCTACATGAGCCCTCACTGCCTAGCTGGTGGTGGTGAGCCTTGAAAATTTTCGTAAACAGCCCTGCAATTCACACTTTACACTGGATTTTATTCAGAATTTTTCCACTGGTGGGTTTTTATATTCCAAGTAAGCTCACGTTTGTGAAAATCCAGATGATGTTCACAAATTAACGACGCTTAGTCTATTCCCTGCCATGTCCTCTGAACAAGTTAGTTTCAGATCTGTTGAGTTAGATAATCCTTAACGTCTTGCTTCTTCTAGCTTTTAATTAATATAAGGGATCCGCAAAATTTGCTCACTTTATTCTCTACTAGTTATCACGAGTGATGTGTCTTGTTGGGGTGTGCACTGATGTGGTTTTTGTACTCGAAGTTTGCCATCACGAAATCCTTTCTGATGATGATTTTTTTTCTTATATACCTTGAATATGTAAATTTCTGGTGAATAACTACAAATGCTGGTTGTCTTTGCAGTGTCAGATTTCAACATAGGAGATCGAGTTTTCGGGAGCTCCAGTTTATATGTGATGGAGACAGCAACGGACTGTTGTATTTTGCGGGGACATCATATGGGGAACACCAATGGGTAAATCCCGTTTTGTCCAAGGTAAACTTATAAACTTCTCTTTAGCCTGTTTCTTGTAGAATTATCAAATTGTTCCTTGCACTAATACTGTAATATTTCAGAGGGTAAGCATTACTGCAAGTAGTCCCGTTTCAAGATACACCGACCCTAAGGTTTTGGTTTCAAGGACTTACCAGGTATGCTTTTAAGTTTTTAACATTTTTCCTTGTTAGAACATGAATGAAATAAATTTATTCTGTACTAGGGCACATCTTTTGCCGGGCCTCGAGTCGAAGATGGGAGAAACACTGCATGGTGGATGGTTGATATAGGCCCTGATCATCAGGTTTGGATAGTTCTATTGTGGCGTGTTTGATAGGGGGATTTCATAGTATTGGACAATATAAAGAAAAAAAAATGTTAAAACCTTGTTCATCCTAGTGTCCATACTACCTACAAACGTGCACGTACAGAAGGAAGAATTTTCTGATCGATATTTATCGATCAAATTAATGCAGCTCATGTGCAATTATTACACGCTGAGGCAGGACGGATCTAGAGCTTTCGTAAGGTGTTGGAATTTTCAGGTAAAGTACATGTTTAGAAGTATATTTCTTCATAACTAGATGTTTAAAAAGGGGGGCACTGCCGTTTCACATGCTGAGCCGGTGAGGACTGAAGCTCAGTCCTTCGGGCACATGGGCATGTAAGGGTTGGGCTGGTTGCTCGAGCGAGCGCCCAATATAAGGGAAAAATGAATTTCCGACGTAGCCAACATGAGTGGCTGCAGGGATTCTTATGGTGTTGGCTCTGCCCCTGGTCAGGCCTGATAAACTGGACTGCCCTTTCCATATTGACACCTCTATTTCATATTTGCATGCTATTTTTTGCAATTTTAATGGATGTGTTATCAGGGTTCTTTGGATGGCAAGAATTGGTTGAACTTGAGAGTACACGAGAATGATGAGACAATATGCAAACCTGGTCAATTTGCATCATGGCCGATTATTGGTCCCAACGCTTTGCTTCCGTTCAGATTCTTTAGAGTAGTCTTAACGGAGCCGACTACAGATGTTACAAACCCGTGGAGCTTTTGCACTTGCTTCTTGGAGCTTTACGGTTACTTTCGTTAACTTTGTTGTGGAATTGAATGTTGGCTAACGTTCTTATAATTTATTTAAGGACTCTGAAGTTGAAAATAAATTCAGTGTGACACTAAAGGTTTGTACATATTGGTAGTGTACTTCTACGGGCTCCAAGCACTAATTCGTGTGCAAATTACACCTATATTTTCAGGCAGTGAACCCTTTCTTTTCTGGACAACGAAGATTTCAATATTGTGGGAGTTCTTTATTTTTAATATAAATTACTTCCTCTTTAGTTTAACCAACCATTTTAAAAGTATATCACTTTTCACACATTTTTTTATAGCGCACAAATGCATTTTAATCGTGGACCCCACCTTTGTGAGGAAGTGTGAAAATTGCTGTAAAAAAAAATGTTGTACAAACAACATATTTGTTAGTTTGACATTGGTTCAAAGCAATTTATTCAGTTTAATTTTGAATCTTCTTCGAATGCATAAAATTTATGCAAAAGTTTCTAAAAATATTTACGCCTTTGTTGGAGAAATGGAAAAAATAAAATTAGAAAATTACAAATATATTATGAAAATATAGAAAAACATGATTATATAAGAAAAAATAAAATAGAAGTTAAATTATAAATAAATAAGTTAAAACATAAGTTTTATCAGATGTTATATTGCAATATAGACACTTGACCTTGACATAATGACAGTGGTTGTCTAGCAGCATATTTAATGCATTATATTTTTTCGGCATAGTTGGGAGTTCTTATGAATTTTTAAAAAAGGGGAAAAGACATAAATATTCTTCGAATTGAAAGGGATATTAATTAAACATAAAATTAAGGAATAAGTTCACCATCGGGATTAAACAATGACCATCACGTTATATGCCATGCTCTAACTACCTGTATATAAAAATGACGCATAAGGGATGACATAAAATGACGTGGATGAAAAATATTGGATAAAAAATTTAATTGTGTTTTAAATTGATGAGTGATTGATATGTATTGTTATGTAACTCATTATATAAAGAAAAATTCTGCTTGTAAATAATTATTCTACATAATAGTGTTCATAATGTGATGCGGCAATCATTCGATTGTTGATGTGCAAGTGTGAAATTTGAATTAAATGTTGGATCCAGTGTCACGTGTAATTATATACATCATTATGTAGACAATTATGTACATGTAACACTCCCCTTATATAAACATAAAATGAAGGAAGAAGTTCACCGTCGAGATTAAACAATGACCATCGCGTTATATGTGATGATGTAACTACATGTACATAAAAATGATATATAAGGGATGACATAAAATGATGTTGATGGAAAATGTTGGATAAAAAATTGGATTTTGTTTTAAACTGATATATGATAAAGTGAAATGTATTATTATATAACTCATTATGTAAAACTTAATGTATATGTATCAAGGTCCAATTACCATTTATGATATAAAGTAACACTAGTTTCAAATAAAGACAAATATTCATTGCATTTTATGAAGTTATCTTGACGTTTATTTCTTAGAGTAAATACAAAAATAACATCTAAATTTGGATAGAAAATATAATTTTTTTTGTGTTACTCCATTTAACCATGCTTCTAAATTTAGAGAGAGCTTTAATATTATTATTATTATTTTATTTTTTTTATCGCGTAAACTTGATGAAGGCCGTTCAACTTGCATTATAAAGAAATTTTTTTTATACATAGTCTATTTTACTTATACAGCATAATTTTTTAGGGCAATTCTCAGTGCGTAATTCACATTTAACCTAAGTGAAGACCCCAAATTATTTGGAAAATTCAATAAAAATAGTTTATCCGCGAAATATCCTACCTAGATGTTCTCATCATTAATAATTTATAAGATTATTTTAATAAATTTAACTTATTGATCCAAATTTTGTGGTTAATAAAGTGATAAAAATTAAAACTAAATTGTATTGATGGAAAAGTTAGTAAAAAACAAAATAAATTTTTCCATGGTCGATAACAACAAAACCTTATTTTATTGAATATATAAATCTTAAATTCAGATAATTCATTTCTTTCAGTTATGTAGTTTTCGTTAGAATTTGACTAACCAACAAGGAATCTAGATTTTTGTTGGCAATAAATTTAAAAATATATATATCATAATAAATCTAATTTGCTGATAAAATTAAATTAAGGAATAAATATAAAAAGATTTAAGTATTATTTTAAAAATCTATTTGATAATAATTAATAATGAAAAAAAATCTAAAAAGTGAATTCTGTAGCTGCCCAAATCTACAATGGGTTTGAAAGGTGACACCGATGATACTTATGATCAAAATGATGAGATAGTGGTAGTACCGGAATGGTTGGATGATAAGATTGTGGGTGATGGTTAAAAGTGATAGTAATGGTGATAAGATATCTTGATTGGAAGAATATTGAGAGAGTTTGTAGACTTGATTTTCAATTCTTCACCCACTGAATAGTCATATTGCCTTCCTATATATAGGTTGACCTACGAAGGTGTTTGTTCCGCAAATCGTGAAGCACGTAGAAACCAGATAATCTGATTAATCGGGATGGTAGTTTCAGAGTCTCAAAAGACTCGACCAACTTTGGATAGAGTTAGTATAACCGTTTGAAGGAGCGCTCCCTTTGTTAGATGTGGTAAGACTTAGTCTTACTCTTGACTCACGACTCCTGTAGAAAAGATGGAAATAGTTGAACTGGGTTGCACATCGAGAACTTATCCTTTAGACTCCACGTGGTATCGTAAGATAAGTAGGACGCAAAGCAAGACCATTAGTTCATAGGTGGGCAAAGAATGAGCATGATTTGCATAGAGGAAATTACACCAAAGCCGGTGTTTAAAAATCACAATTCTAAAATCAGGTGCAAGGTTTGATAATGCATAAATCAGGTACTAAATCCTAAAATTAAAATCCCCCTTTCCATCCTCTCACTCTCCGTTTCTCATTTTCTTCCTCACGTCTCTTGTAACCGCCTATGCTCTCTCCCATCTCCATCATCGGAGACCACCTCTACTGGAGTCGAAAAATTTGAGTGCTTGCACTCTACAGACTCTCCCTTCTCTCTGCCCGCACTGCTACAAGGGGTGCAACGCCTCCTTTTCTTGGAATTGCGAATGTGAACGTCGCTTCGATTTTTAGCAGTGGTGGCATCGGTTATGGTGATGGTGGAGGTTGCTGTGGTTTTTAGCTGCGAGCGGCGGTCCGATTTTCAATAGCGATGCCCTCATCCATTGCCGCTGGAGATTGGTGGCGCTATAAACTCTGCTGCCCGCTACCTTGCTTCTTCTTCTTTTTTCTTTTTTTTTTTAATTGTGGACCTTGTGTTGTGGTGGTTTTTGTTGGTAGGATCCGAGGGTTACAGTTTTGTTAGTGGTTGTGCGATTAGGTGTGTTTTTGTGGTGTTGGTGGTTTGGTTGTGGTTTGACTGTTTGGTGGTGGCAGTGATTTTGTGACCGTGGAGGTGGTGGTGCTCGTGGTGGTGGCGGCTGTTATAGTGGTTTTTGGGGACGGTGGAGGTGGATCTGGAGTGGTGGTGGTGCGGTGTTGGGGTAGTGGTGATGCTGGTTGTGGTGTTTTTTTTGGTTGGAGTGGTGGTCTTATTTTAATTGTGTCGAGAGAATTTGGTGGTTTTTGTTGGCAATGAAACTGGCGATAGTGGTAGATTGGTAGTGTCGATGGCGAGATGGTCGCCAACGACAGGGACAGGGTGAGTGTGGTTGAAAGTGGCAACGGTGGATCAATGACCTACAAAATTTTGATTTGTAACTACGAAATAATCATTTGATCAATTAGTTTGTCGATATGTGACCAGTAAATAAATTTGTGACCTATAATTATAAATATGTTATTATTAATCGTTTAACCGTGACTTTATTATTTATATTTAATAAATTTTTTAATTAATTAAATATGTACTTATTTTTGAATTTTAAAAGTATTTACTTGAATTTTGAATTGAGGTAAATTGAAGGTCTAAAATGTGAACTCTTTCCCCTCGAGAATAACAAAAACATTGCGCTTTTTCCTCGGGTGACCCGAAAAGAAATTGAAAAAAGGAACCCGAATTGGCTCAAGTCGGATCTCGGGTATGAATTTTATACGTAGAAGGGGTTCAATGGTGGCGATCGGGAATCACAGGGAAAATGGAAAATTCGCAAAAGGAGAAGAGTAATGCAAAGTATAGCATAATAGTGCCCACCTACAATGAACGCCTCAACATCGCTCTTATTGTTTACCTCATCTTCAAGCATCTTCCGTTCGTACTCTCTCTCTCTTTTCGTTCTGAATATAGTAATTGAGGTTTTTATTGGCTTTTCGTAGACGATTATCGTTGATTTCTTTTATGTTGCGTAGAATTGAAATTACTATGAGCGATTATGTGTGCGTTTGATTCCGAACAAAGAAACTGAGGTGTTTTTGGCTATTTTAAATGGTTGATTAGTCGAGGCGGGTAAGATGTTTTCGGGAAAAAAAAAATTATCTTTAGGTTTTTTTAAGGATCGTGAAATTGAACTTGCTATGAGCGATTTGAAGTTACAGGGAGTCCAAAATTTCTGAATCGTGATGATTAATTTTGTAGTGCATTACAACAAACGGTCCTTTTTGTTTAACAGTAAAAGAAATTGTCCGATCATTGGTTTTGGAGATTTTGTTTAATGTATGTTTAATCATATTTTCAGTATCATCAAGATGGAGTTTGTTCAGCATTCGGTTTGGATTATACAAAATGATTATGTTGTATGAAAACAGTTGTGAGAGGAGGATAAATTTTTGAGAACTCAATAGATAGCAATTTATTGGTGTTGATGTTCTAGTTTAACACTTAAGCAAACCATTTTTTAGTGTTTCTGACTAAATCAGGTAAAAAAGAAAAAATGAAAAACTAATGGAGCCAAATGGAGCCTTATAATATATGTAATCTCTTAATTTGCGTTCTAGTTCGGTAACTTTTGGGGATTGTTACCTCGTAACTGTAGACAGTTGCAATACCTTGTCATGCTTGCTTGATCGTTAATCAGTGTTTCGAATCCAATTCTGTTACATCCATTGAACTGGCAATAATGTGAATAACGTTTTTCCAAGTAAATCTGTGCAGAATTTTATTATACAGTCTTGATATACCTTTAAGTGATGGACAATGTTTAATGTTAATGAAGTGAAACTACATCGTTAATATTTGTTTAATCCATTACTTTTGATGAAGTAAAAGCCTATTATAGATTACGCTGATTTATGCTAGTCCCTGTCTTTTTTTTACTTTACCTTTTTTGAAGTCTCTTAGCCATCTTTACGATGCAGTGGACTGGTATTTATTTCGTGTACATTTTTGGTATTTGTTAACAAAAATATGGGAGAAAAGGGATTAGACCATGTGAAAATTAATTATATGCATTCTTTTCAGACACTGGACCTGGTCAATTTGTAACTTTTATTTGTTGTCTGATCAGGGATGTTGACTTTGAAATTATAGTAGTGGATGATGGGAGTCCTGATGGAACTCAGGACATTGTCAAACAATTGCAGCAAGTATATGGGGAAAATCGCATTGTAAGATTCAGCAAATTAAACCAGTCTTCATTGTTGAGTTTGATGATCTGCAATTTCAGCTCTTAGCTTATACTTTTCTGTGGATTCTCTTTTACTACAGCTGTTGAGACCTAGACCCAGGAAGCTCGGTTTAGGTGTGTAATATTTAGGCTTTCTTTATTTTGAATGATAATCATGAAGTGGTTCCGAATGTCGATTTCGTTTCAGGAACTGCTTATATGCATGGTCTGAAGCATGCCTCGGGCAGTTTTGTTGTTATAATGGATGCTGATTTATCACACCATGTAAGTTTTATCATCAAATACTAATAAGATATTCTTTTTCATGTTATATAACATTGTGAAATTGTATTTTTAATCTACGCCGTGACCAATGGTTTTCTCATGCTGCACATGATTTTGGTTCAAGTGTAACACAAAGTTTGCTTTGGCATGTACTTCTAATATGAAAAATGAGAAAAAAAGGTTCTGCAGATCTATTTCATTATATATCATGCTAGAAAATTGTAGGTTGAACAAGAGAAAAATTAGTTTCGGATCATTAGTATTTAAGATGACTAGATGATTATTCTAATGACATGCATGATTCGTTTAAACCTTAGATAACCTTTGCGAATTTACCATGCTTCTTTACTTTTTGCTCGGTCTGTATTGTTTGCTTTTCTTTTAATTAATCTAATTATCTGTTTGTTTCTTTTTCATGTTCATCTGCAGCCAAAATATTTGCCGAGCTTCATCAAGTAAGAATATTTACAGAAAACTCTTTTAGCTTTGAATTTTAAATATGCTTACTAGCTGAAAATTTCTTGAGTTCAGGAAACAGATGGAGACAGGTGCGAGCATTGTCACTGGAACTCGTTATGTTAAAGGTGGTGGTGTGCATGGATGGAATCTTATGCGTAAATTGACTAGCAGAGGGGCAAATGTTCTTGCGCAGACCTTTCTTTGGCCGGGTGTATCAGACTTAACTGGATCATTCCGGTACAATCGATTCTTTTATTTATTTTTTTCAGTAGCAATTAGTTAATGTCTTTGTACTTCACCTAGGAGCTTTTGATTATTATTGTTGGGTTTGAAGTCTTTATCAGAAATCTGTGCTTGAAGATGTCATAAGTTCTTGTGTGAGTAAAGGCTATGTTTTCCAGATGGAGATGATTGTTCGAGCCTCAAGAAAGGGTTACCACATAGAAGAGGTAGTTGTTATATGTAATCTGCAATTTTTGATAAGGTTCTCCATATGAATGCTATATTTTTCATCTGATCAACATGAGATATATACTTCATCATTGGAATTGATCGTGCAAACTCTTGACAATTTTGTGAGAATGACTGGGCTTCAAACTGCTGCTTTGAAATATGTGGTCCATCTGCAAAGATGGGATTAAAAGAACTTGCTGTGAATAAATAATCAATGGAACCAATTTCAAGCTTGGAGAAAGCTGTTTGAAGCTCACAATTATTTGATGATTTTGAAGTATATTTCTAGATTTAATATTTTATTAGTTTAAAGTGAAACCTTTAATTACTTTGAATATAATTGGTTCGTTATGAATATTCTTTTGGTAATAACGATCAAACTAAAAATGTCAGTCTTGAACTCAATATTTCAAATATCCTAGGCTCGGTGTAGCAGAAACTCTAAGTTTGCATATACAGCTCTGCTATGATTGTGCGCTCCCCTACTATATCCCTGGATTACTATACAAAGCTTGCAATGATATTCCATCTGCAGTCCGTTATGATTGATGGGCATGCATATCATTTTACTTTATTTCAATTTCATCATTGGTTGCCCTTCACTAGAAGCTCATTCATGCATAAATCTTGTTCACAAGTACAAAAATACTCAATGTTACCTGTCTTTTAGGAAGTTTATTTCCCAGCCATTACTGAAGTTGGATTCTTAGCAGTTATTTGATTCCCATTATTTCTAAAATAGATTTTTCTCTCTTATTTTCAACTACACATTCTTCAATAAAATATTATTACACGTAAACCAAAAAAAATTCATTTTTTTTTTCTACATATTCTCCATCAAAACACTGTTCTAAAATGTATTTTTGGAGAATAATGGGGCTCAAACAGGCTCTAATGGTCTGTAACTTGTAGATGAGTTCTTACCTTTTGAGATCCTTCTATAGCCGTTTTCTGATGGAAAGAGAGTGAAGGTTTAATATTGTCTGCATTTTATGGCAAAATGCCATGTGAATAATTTTTATGTTGTAGCATGAGGATATTATATGAACCACCATTTGACCGTAAATAGACTCGTATGATAGATTGTTGAGTGCTTGAACATTTCTCTTGGGATTTTGGCTCATGATTTTCGACAAGCTAAAGGATTTTATCGTGGAATTACTTTTGGTGAATATTACACTTATATTGATCTCTAATTGTGATTTTTATAGGTTCCAATAACATTTGTTGATAGAGTATATGGAAGCTCAAAGCTGGGAGGATCGGAAATTGTAGAATATTTGAAGGGACTTCTTTACCTTCTTGTCACGACTTGAGAATGACTCGAAGTCGTCGACCATGATAGATTCTCTCATTTAGCAGCCGTCATTTTTGGTGTGCATTACAAGTTTATACAATATACTGCATAGGTTTCCATCGACATCACTTGAATTCTAACATGTTTTATAAAAAGACCTCTCGACACTTTCGGAGAGTTGAACAATGTTTTTATTTCTAATTTTATTACACTGGCAGTTTGAAGACTTAAATCAATTTTTTCCCATGAATTATGTGACGGAAAGAGAATTTGGTGGGTATGCATACTCACCCCCTTTTCCATGAACACAATTTGCAAACTAAATTTTCGCTGTCAGAACATGTTTTCATGAGTTGTACTATATGTACAGAAAGCATTTTGCTAGACAACTTACAGATCACACACAATCCATGGGGTGGGTGAATATATTTTTTCAATATAAAACTCACATGGGACTGATGTCACGTGAGTTTTTTGGATTTATTCTGTGGAAAAAATTCTGTACAAACAAATTTTTCTTGTTTTCATTGAATATTTTCTTTATTTGAATGTGAAGGTACAGTTATTTTATTCCCCTTAAATTTAAACCGGTTGGGACAGTTTCTTCCAAAGCAATTTCTTGCTAAGCAATGAAAAAAGATAACACTAGAAATGAGCTTCGAGATGTTTTTGTTAATTTGGATTGAAGACATGGTAAGGAAGTAACATATCCCCTGTTATTCTATCACTCAAATAATAATTTAATGTCTCGAAACTATGAGAACACATATTTTGGTGGTTTCGAAGACCAACTGAACGTCGTCATCTGTTTTGATTACAGAATACGCACAAAAACACACAACTGAAGTTTCAACAAATAATATATCCATCCTATGGCTAAGCTTAAAAAGTGTACTATTTTGTAAGTACTTTTAAGCTAAGCCAAACATGCTCAAAATCACTTCTTCCTCACCTTTCTAACTCCAACTTTTCTCTGTGAAATGCAAGATTTCTCACCATACAGAGGCAAGGGAGGAGGCTTCTCGTTCTCCTTGGCCTTGTTTCTACAACGCCTCAACGAATAACGATGCATTGCAGCCTCCCTCCTCTCCGCCATGGGCGTGGCAGCAGCTGCCGTTTTCTTCCTGCTCTCAAACTTCGTCGGCCCACTTTTCTTTGAAGAATCAACTTTAACACCAAGATCATACACTGCCTTCTTCTCCTCTTCCCCTTTCTTTCTCTTCAACATCTCATTTCTTCTAGCTGAGTACTCTTCATAAAACCTGCCCCTTTCAAACAAACAACTACTATTAACATTAAAACCATCTCCATCAAATCCAACATAATCCCTTGTTCCAAATTCTTGATGTACCATTTTAGCCAAAGACCTCAATTCACATGAAATTGTCCGGTACTCCCGTCGAAGATTCGGTTCTTTCTTATCCCAATTGCGTTTAGGCAACTGGGAGTTTGGTAAGGAACCTGTTATTGCCAATAAAATTTGTAAGAATCAAGAAAAAACACGCACATACAAAAGAAATTCTTCCAAACCTTGAAATACCTTATGGGATTTGAATGATATTGTCAATGCAATCAAGAAAGTGAACAGAGTTCAATTTAAACCAGTAAAGTTGAGAAACGTGAAGTATTACTCCACAAACATTCAATTTTTTGTAATTATACCTGGCGGCATTCAAATGAGGTGGCAAATACATTCAAGAAAGTTTCAAAACTTCCGTTTAAATCAGAAAAGTCTACAACGAAGAAGTGTTAAAAAAACAAAAATCCTATTTACGTTAAAGTTTAAACTTGAATCTTGAAATACCTGGTGGGGTTTTAGTGGTGGTGTTGACAGTGGATTGAAGAGAACGAATGGGGCGAAGCCTAATCGGCGACCGGGCAAGTGGTGGTTTGGCGTTTGATCTCAGAATCATCTTGGCCATGTATGTGTAATACAAAATATTTATGAAATAATTTTCATAAACTCTTTGAAAATGCTTATCATAGAGAAGAAATAATTAAAGGGATTGAAACTTATAAAAAGAGGTTAAACAAGGAGGGAATAAAAGGAGATTCTTCGTGAGTTTGAATTTTGTGAAAACTTTGTTTATTTATGTTCCATTACAATTGTCAATTGTTTGTCCAGTTTTTGTGGGATTCTTATTATTTTATCAGAAAGAATATCGGTCCGAATTTGGTAACATTTTTCAAAATTTATTTTTTTTCCAATTTATTTTCAATTGCAACTTTAATGGAATACACACTTTTAGAAACTATTTTCAATTATATATTACACCAATTTTGATTGAAATCTACTTTATTTTATTTTATTTTTTTACCAAAATCAAACACGAACTAAGGTGGAGTGTTTCTAGCGGTCATATTCATGATGTCTCTTAATGATCTAATTATGGCTAAAATGTCAAATTGGTAATCCTTTTTAATCAATGGTCACCAAACTTTGATGGAAATTTCGTTTTAATCACTCTACTTTTGTTTTTAAAACTCTAATCAAAGTTTCACTATCATTTTCCATAACGATTTTGTTGCCAAGATCAATGTTCGTTACTATGTTGGAGAAGAACTTTATTAGATGGACATAAATAGAACCAGCGAAATTGTCGACTCGTGCAATAATCATAGTTTTCAACCATAATTACATAATTAAAATTACATTTCAATAGGGATGGCAAAGGGTCGACTATTCACGTTCCCTGATCCGTTGGGTACTTTTGTTACCATTCTCAACACCGTATCCCATTAAAGTGGGAAGAGACAGGCGTGCAGTTTATTTTTTAAATCTTTATTTAGTGAGTATAATTATTTTTTTCCCAATTTAATAAGAACAACTCGTGTTCTCTTCAAATATGATGATAATTTTTTTCTTTTGATTTGGTAAAAAATTTAAACTTGAAATTAACTTTAAATGAGACGGATATGAGGATAGAGACTATGTTTTTCGTACTCATTCTATAGCCGCTTTGGGACAACGATCCTCTCCCTCGGTCCCGTATACTAAATTAAACGGGTAATCCACGCCCTATTCGAGATGGGGCCGCAAATATTGGATTGAACGAATTTTTTTACATCCCTAATTTGAATAGCATAAGATCTATATTAAAAGCGCAAATTTACATTGTTGTCAAACCAACAAGCTAAACTAATGTCAAGAGGAGTTCGTATAAAAACATATATTTGCTACTAAGAAATAGTAAAATTTTGGGACAAAATAAGTATTGATGACCAAACTGAAATAAAATTTAGGGTCCATTTAATTGCAACGGTGGAATTTGGGTGGAAAGAAAACGAATTCTAGGGAATTGAATTGATGGGAAATTGTTTTTCTGAGAATTGTAAATTATTGTGTTTGATTGGTATAATTTTCTATGTGAAAAATGTTTGAATTAAAGTGTTTTTTGATATTCGTTTGGCTTTGTTTTACATGAAAATTGTCAATTAAAATGGTAGAATTTACTGGTATTTGGAATGAAATTTGTTTCCATCGTAAAAAAAAAAAACAATTTTTTTTTCAAGAAAATCATTTATCTTTTGATGTTCGTTTGACTTTATTTTATATGGAAAGTATCATGTAAAGGAAAATATTTATTTACGATAATTCTTAAAATTTGTTCTCATTGTCAACCAAAAAAAAAAAAAAAGTAAAAAACTGCTACAGTAACTTGGAATTAGACAATTCCATGCAAAAAAAAAAAAAAAAAAGAAGAAGAAGAAAGACCAATCAAACATCCTCCAAAGTGAAAGTTGGAATTGATTTTCCAACTTCCATGGAAAATAATAGAGGTGGGCGCGGGTCGGTTCGGTTCGGTTCGGTTCTAAAGAGAATCGAATCGAACCAAAATTTTCGGGTATCTAGTAAATGAAACCGTCGGATCCAAATATAATTATAGAACCGTTCGGGTTCTGTTCAGTTCTGTACTGTAATTAAAAATTTTAACATTTATAATAACATTATATAAATACAACTAATGACATATTCAATGGTTTTGGAATATCAGAGACTAGTAGACTACCTTATTCAAATGATCGCTACGGTCAAAGTTTCGGTCGGCGGAAGTCACAGCTTCGATCGGAGGTCAAAGCGTCGATCGACGATTGTATAAGTTTTGGAATGACAGCGAGGCTGCGAGAGTTGAGACGGCGTTATGCATTTTAGTGAAAGTGTTTCGGATTATTTAGTAAATTGGACCTTTTCGGGGCTAAGAAATGAAACAATAAAATGGGTAATTGGGCCAAAAATTAAAAAAATAGAAATGAAACAAATTATTGAGCCTAAAATTTGGATTTAGAAATTGTTAATTTGTTAATTTGTTTAGAAAAAATTAAAATTAAAATAATTTGATTTATTCAATATAAAAAAAAATTAGAAAGATTCGATTTTTATTCGATTCTCTAATTTTTGGTCTAGAACCGAAAATCGAACCGTACCCATCGGTTCTCAATTCAGATACCCGTTCGGGTATTTAATTTGACAAGAACCGTCGGGTTCAGTTCAGTTTGGTTCGGGTTCGGGTTCGGGTTCGATTCGGTTCGAGAGATTTGCCCAACCCTAGAAAATAATATCAAATTAAACGGTGCCTTAGAGTTTAGTGAAAATAAGTATTGATGACAAAACTGAAATAAAATTTAGACTTCAGTAATGAATGAAGAAAAAAAAAATTAGATTCATTTGACTTGTTTATATTTTACACAAAACTTGCATTATTGTATCTTGAAAAGCATTTCTCTAACAATTTTTTTTTTTAAAATTATTGTGTCTTTTAATTACAGAATTCATTAAAGAAAATGTTAATTCGTTTATAAATTATAATCATAAATTTCCACAATATTTTTGAGAGCTTATACTTTTTGGTCCTTACATTCAAGAAACATACTACGTTATTACAAGAATAAGCCAATTCTTTGGAAATCTTTTGTAATATGTCTTAAAATTGTAGGATTCATCCATTTTGTTCAATGTATTAGACCAACTAAATTAAATATGTGGCCAACATGTTCTCATATTGGCAAGAAACTTAATTTATAAGTCTCTGGGCCATAGAAAAATAGTTTGAAATGGTAAATCCCATGACGTATTTGCTGAGTTAAATTACAAGTAATTAAAATTTATAGCTTTTATTATGTCTCAAAAGAAAGAAAGAAATTCTAAATGACGCGAAGGACTCAATTGTTGCAACAATTTTGTGTAGTAAAGATTTATATAAATCATAGTTGTTAGACTCGATTGGTTAATTGATTGATCGAAGCACCAGTTGTCGAGGTCACTGGTTCAAACCCACGTGCTCTTCTCTATGACCCGATGATCTAATCATATTATTCTACTTCAATTTGCACAAACTCCATACATGGGAAATTATTTAAAGAGAATTTGAGAAAATAATTGTTAACCGGAGTAGGTAGAGGTAGCTTTCATTGAATACAAGACAACTACAATATTAGACTAAAAGGACGAGATTGCTCAATTTTAAAATTTGATCTTTACGAAATTCCATCATAGTACAAGATATAAGTTCAATTTACCTAGTTCAACTTCAAGTGTTCCAATGGGAAATTATGTCTCAAATTCAATAAATGATAGTTTATATCATATTAACTTGTGTTTTGGATATGCAAAGTTAGCCGAACTTGATTGTTTGGATTCCACTTTGTATTGTCGACGAAAATGCCAAACACATATTTATCTCAATACTTTTTTTTTTTTCACCAAATTTTCTCAAAACGACCTTTATTTTTCTTTTAAAATAGGATAAATTTGACCATGGTAATTGGTAAACATAAATCACCATGGAAATAGCTACAAATGTGGCGCAATTATTCGAAGAAAACTATTGATAAGTTGTTTGATTATTTTCAATAACTTGGAGTCCTTGCAAGTAGCAATGGGTTTTCTTAAAATGGAATATTGGGATGGTTAGATTTATAATCAATACTTGTCACTGTCACATGCGTTGCACGAATTTTATATTTATCGTATTTTTATTAGCGTATGAATATTAGTTTTTTTGGAATATTTTTGAAGCAATATCTAGAAATGTTTCCATGATATAAGAAAGTAATTCCAAATTATTACTGGTTTTTACAATTTCATAACATTATTTTGTTATATATAGAAAAAATATGCTTGAATAAGAAATATATGAAGTTACACAAATTATTTTGCTTGTATTGTTGACATTCAATGTTTGATAGTGTTGATATGATTGAGCTGAACTTGAAGAATATATTTCTAAATCTTGTGTAAGTTCGAATAAGTTGGAAAATACTTGCATTGAAAAATTGAACATTCAGCGCAAAGTTTATTACAAAATAACATTAAACTAATTTATAGAGAAGTAATGAATCCATCATCACATACTTTGTGTACCGTGAACATTGGGAATTCGTTATAGCAGCTCAAATGCTCAAACATGTATGGGTCTCTTATTTGAAGATGTTTCTCTCTGGCATATTGTGACCAACCTGTGGTGAAACATCTTACATCATAATATGTTGTCAAACTCGTAGAAACAGTCCAGTTGCGATGCGAAGAGTCATGGATTCGAACATTTCGTATAAATTTGGGTAGATGTTCTCCACTGAATCTTGAAGGTACATACTAAAAAGTAAAATAAAAATGAGCGAAAAAAGGGAATTTAAATTGTGGAAACATGAGTAAAAGAAAACTTACAATATTACGACTGTCATCACGTCTGAATGTTAGCCTAAAGACAGGATTTCCTATATGGAATGTCTCTTTTTCAACAACTTCGGGGACGTAGTGGTATGTATCATAAGTTACTTCAAACTGTGAATCGTCAAATATTGAAACATAGAAGGTAGAATTTTCAATATATTCGAACACAATAACATAACAATCTTGTAAATTGTAATGGTCGAAGAATTGTTCCCATCCACTAGCTAGATAAATGTCATTGTTAACTCTTTCTAGTTGTATGGTAGCAATTATACCATCGTATCCAATTAGACATATTCCGTCGGTAAGTTCACGTCCTAATTCGACAAAAAATCTTGGAAGCAACTATACAATGAAAAATAAAAGCATTTTTAGCTGATGTATGATTTTATTAGTTTTAAGAAAGTATAAGCATTATA